CTAAAAGCCGCGTTATCATTAGTCAATTTTATTGATCAATAATAATGAATCTATGCCATTCAACTTAGAAATTTAGAATTAAATTCAGTGGAACATGTATTTTTATTAATAATATATATATTTAAACTTTATTTTTCTCTTATTCATTTTTCATAAAATAGTATATGTTTGTGACTGTATCTTGTTCTTGTAACCATTTTCGCGAAACTTATTTCTCCATTGTGGTACATTTCAGCTAATTATATTAAAAATAAAATCCGCTCCTGGTGAGTGACACCAGTTCGACATTGACATTGTGACAACCTCTGGAGCCGTTCTAATTATATAGCAATTTACCTTCACATTGCCACCATTACAATGTCACTAATTATAACTGTACGATCTATTGTTGGGACTGCGGACCGATCAATACTGTAGATTGGTTTGAACTTGATAGATCGATTTATCAATTTTAGCAACTTATTATGAATCATACGTAACACAAGTTAAATGAGCATCTACGAAATGGATCCCCTACCGTTATTATGATGTCTTACAGGCAGATTCAGAACAAACATTGAATTCGAATAGGTTCAAAGAAGCCGAGCACTATGTTTACACGGCAGTGTTTGTGGTCAAAATTACGTAGTTTTAGTGCATAATTTTGAATAGATGCCAGTGCCTGCCAAAGTGACAAACCAATACATCGGCGTTCACGTTTCTCTGAAGGATATTCAAATAGGTACTGTACAGAAATACTGTGTTGCGATATGTTGAAGAAGGCAAAGAAACGAAAGTAAATATTTTTTAAAAGTGCAGCATATGTACAAATCTGGCTTAATCCGTAATTTTGGAAGATGAAAGATTAAAAAAAAAATACCTGCATCAAACAGCAGGAATGGCGAATACGAGATATTCGAAATAGTGGGCATTCCATTCGATTTTTCTAAATATTTGCTGTGATCTGAGCACATTCTTTGATAAAAGCACATACCTAGTTGACTATAATATTCACATTGTTTTTGTTACATCATTGTCTCTATTTTACTCTCGAATTAGTACTTAATTTGATATTCATATATTTTTGGCGGGCGCTGAGCATCCTCAGAATCTTCTGGTACTAAAATGAGTAAACGTAAAGCTACTATTTATAATATGAAACGAAAGACCTCTCTTAGGAACTTTTAGATCCAAAGTAAAAGTAGAGTAGCTAAGACTCAAAAGTTTCGATTTGCCTTCTTCAGTATTCATTAAACATTTTGGTTCATCTCCAATTTTTAAATGTTCGTTAGGTATGAAATTTTGTTAAGAAACCTTAGATTTTGACTGAGCACTCAAAGAAACAAGAATGCAACAAATCAAAATTACCTTACAACTATCCCAGGTGCATGCCCTTTGGCAACGCCGATGGTTATAATATATTAATCTGTTTTTATTTGCTTTTATTCTATTAATACTGCAATTGTGTGGAACCTGGATCACTAGAACTGTATGAAAACCTATACACTTTTCGTCGAAAAATATGTACTTAATGCGAAATGTTAACAACTGCCAAACTGGCAACTTGATCGACTTATAATATATGCTTTTGCATCCTGACTTCTGACTACGTAGTTTTGAATCAAAACCATGCGCATTCTAGCTCCTTCTTCCTAGTCCGTATTCGTTGAGAGCGAGACTTTCTCTCTCTGGAGATACGCCCCAAGTACCAAGTCACATCAGTGTGGGGATACGAGTTAATGACCAATGAAATACTCAGCACTCTGTGGCGGAAACATATCTGAGGGACAAAATCGTAGGCTCTACTACCAGAGAAGGATGTTTTGTGAATTTGCGATACTTTTTTACTTTTTACAGCTTTTGGGGTGATTGGGTGATGAGGGGGAATCCACCGTCCGCATTTTGGGTATCTGTGAGGCCTTGGGGCAGACTGTGTACTGGAGTCTAGTGCATTGAAGTATTCTGCAAGGTGTACTTTGGTGAACATTCACATATATTCACAGACAATTGTTTTTTCTCAAACACGCTGTTATTGTAGCTCACAGATCGAGTTTGTAGTGGTTATGGCTATTATAAAGCTTTGGTGAAGAAACGTGTCATTGACACTAACTTCTTGAAGACATCAATAGTCAGCGACCATTCAAGGATATTGCTTTAATATAGTTAAAGGTTTATTTATATGAGAATATAACAGAATAGTTGCACTTGGAATACAGCTTCACCAGATAAAGGCATCTAATCATGTTATTAGTAAATATTGTATGCTCTCATGCTCATCTCTATAAAGCGATACGTAATTTCTCCAATAGAATAGTTTATAAACATATGTTACTTACACAACTATCTTTGTCAGGAAACGCCAATTTTCATTAAAGCTAAATTGGTTTCCATGATGCAGTGGCGCACAGAAGGTTGTTGCTTGGGTTAATATATTTCTGAAAAAAAAAACACGTTTTGACATATTCACCTGGATCAAGTTACTGAGGAGTCCTAGGCGGCCTTTCCTAGTTTTTGAGTTTTGAGGTGTCGTATTTTTTTAATGTGGTTGAGTGAGTAAAAAATTAAGACTGCTTTAGATTGTTAGTTCCACCACCATATTAGTCCCAGTTGCTTCCTCGTTTTTCCTTTTTTTTCTCATGACCGGCTAATATGAGGGTGACAGATCTATGAGATCTACTGACTGAATTTGAAGGGTCTTGATAATTTTGGTCCGATGTAATGGCCATTCGTCAAGTCTGGATTCTCGCTTGTATAAGTCTTATTCTAAGATTGAACACCATGTTCTATAATATATATATATATATATATATATATATATATATATATATAATAGCATCTTCTAGGTTTTTTATGAGACATCGTACACAGGGTATCATAAGGAACGACTTGCGTGGTGTGACCAGTTCTCAGATATCTAACTTATTTCAGTCTCTGTATGTCGGTAGACATATTTGTTACTTGTTATCAGTATTTTAGCAACGACGTAATTTCCAATATTATTATTTCGACGTAATATCAATATTGTTTTTCCTTCAAAAAGTATATTTATTCTTCGTGTTTTGATTCCATTTGTTGCAAGATGGGCTTCTGGCATAATTAAAATGAAATCCTTTGTCGGTAAATATAGAGGATTTAAATGAGCTCTCTTTCAATCTACAAATTTCAAATACGTTTCTCCATCACAACAATGAACAAAAATTAACCCTTCCTCTCCCTCCCATGTCAGCAAAAGTAAGCAAATATTTTACCACCCGTAAACCTTTTGGTACATTTTACAACTTGAAGCAAGTATTGTTTCTCACGCACATGTTCTGAATACCATTTATTCGTAATGTCTGAAAAATCAGTAAGATCTGGCTCGCTCGATCCAATATACTTTGCAGCTAGATGATAATCAACAATTTTCATTGAACTCCATACCTCTGCTCATATATTTCCAGCAAACTCAAAATTCGATCTTTCTAAATGTTCGTTAATTGAATACGTTCATCCAAATGAGACCCAAAATGGTCATGAGGCAGTATCATACCAGCCAATACCCGATTATACGCATTTCTACCAAGAGTATTTATAGCTAAGGTTCTGAGCGAGTAAGCATATCCGTATTTGGGAAATCTCTGAACATGCGTTTCGCTTTAGGGCATAGACAGGCAGAGTTGCAGTGTTCATATCAAAATCTACTAAATCTTGTTGAAAATTCGAAAAAGTAAACAAATTATCCCCCATGTCATCAAAAATAAGTAAAGCGACGACCCCCATCTCCTTTAGTGCTTACTTAATACTTGAATGGCACCTAACTTGCATCATGCTTGAAAATTGCTCTTAACAATTTGATGTAAAAAATCTATTCGATAATATACTATAATTTTTGGTATCCGGGATGCGTTCATTGTTAGGTTAACTATACATTTCTAGAATAATAATCCCACATCATTACAGAAAGTTCTGATACTAATTTATCTCAATCAGTATACGGTAAATAGTACGTACAAAAAAATAGGGAAAGGCGAAAGGCAGATCTACAACATACCTAAAAATCATCCTCGTAAAAGTTCCACTGTTTTTGAGATATCCATTTTTTTTTGTTGACTTTAACGAAAAATTTCCTCGTTTGATCTATGCTTTGTTGCTGATTAAGCAGATAATTTATCGCAGTACTTTGCAGTAGCAGTCTAGTACATTTCTATTTATATCGCCGTATACCAAAGCTGAGTAAAATAGTTTTCTAAAATAAAAATTTCGAAGAAGAAATTAGTTTGACAAGTTTACCTACTTGTATTAATCGAAAATGATATTTTAAATTACAGACCAACTTTCTGAGAATATTTTGCAAAAAAAAACAGATATCCTGTTATTTCTATGCATAGCAACAAAAGATAGATTAAAAAAAGAGAGACAAAAAAATTCATATCTCAAAAACAGTTAGGTTAACTATACATATCTGGAATAATAATCCCGCATCATTACAGAAAGTTCTGATACTCATCTATCTCAATCCGTATACGGTAAATATTACGTACAAAAAAATAGGGAAGATAGGCGAAAGGCAGATCTACAACATATCTAAAAATCACCCTAGTAAAAGTTTCACTGTTTTTGAGATATTATTTTTTTTTTGTTAGACATTAGTTTGTCAAGTTTACCTACTTGTATTTATCGAAAATGATATTTCAAATTGCAGACCAACTATCTGAGAATATTTTGCAAAAAAAAAATATAAAAAGATATCCTGTTATTTCTAGGCACAGCTACAAAAGATTAAAAAAAGAGAGACAAAAAAATTAATATCTCAAAAACAGTGAAACTTTTACTACGGTGTTTTTTTGGTATGTTGTAGATCTACCCTTTGCCTTTCGTCCCTATTTTTTGTCGTACTATTTACCGAGCACCCTGTATACGTGCTTTGGTATTTTCATCGCTTGTTGGCATGTAGATAGTATATCCAGCAGTGGCAGACGTGGTATAATTCGAGATCATATTATTTTACTTTACTGATTTTTTATTTCTATGCTGCAACCAAGACTATATATAACCTTGGGTATACGCACACCACTGTTTATTCACAAATTGCTTTTCATAGTGTACGCAACAGATCATAAACAACGTTACGTAAATCTGTGATCCCTAAATAAACATGGACTACCAATAAAATAGGAAACTACAAAACGGAACAGACTGGAAGTGAGACGTAGATGCTGTTGCCGCGAACTGTGCAGTGCGTGAAATAATTGAGGACTTTTGGATTGACTTTGAATAATTTAATGGTGTGAACCTGTGGTGTAAAGTGCGAAACCATGTTTTTGTGAGGATTGAGTTCAGATTGGAGCATGCCCAGTATGACGACGACTAGCCACGGAGGTGTGCTGTACTACGTGGTGAAAGTGCCAAAGGATGGGGAAGAGGATGGAACTGCGAGGTATGTCCTAATGGAGGGTTGTTATCTTTTCACCCACCAGTAGCGTATATAAGTGGGGGGGGGGGGGCTAGAGGGCCTGCCTCTCCTCCTGAAGTTAAGATAGTGACCACGTTCTGGGAGAATTTGCCAATTCTTAGATGAAGTATCACTTTGTCATGACCAACGAATTTGAATAGATTAGAAGAAGCCTATATGTTTACATTTCATTGTTTATCGTCAAAATTGTGTCGTTATAATGCATAATGCCTACCTGTGCCTACCATAGTGGCAAACCGTACATTCGTTTTTCTGGAAAGAACATTGAAATAGCTATCCGTACTGGGTGTCCCACGTAGAGCAAGACAGAAAAATTTGGATCGCTACGAAAGTAAATATTAACGGTATAGCATATGAATAATTCCGCCTATGTTAGTTCGTGATTTTGGAAGGTGAACAATACAAAACATTCTCTCCTTCGAACAGCAACACTGGCGGAATATCTGATATTGGAAATAAATAGTTTTCGTGATCCGAGCAGATTCTTGACTAAAAGCAAATACCTAATCTAATTCACCATAATATGGTTAATTACTGCTTTTATATCATTGCCAAAAAGATGTGGAAGTATTTTAATTACTTTGATGTTCATACTTTTTTGGGCGTACTGAGCTTCCTCCATAGAGTGTCATGGCACTAAAATGAGACCGTAAAATTATTACTTATAAGGCGATAGTATCTTTCATTACTTTTAGATTCCAAATTAAAGTGAATAATTCTAATTTAGTTACAGTTTCGGTTGGCCCTTTTCAATATCCCTCAAAAAATTTGTTTTCTCGCATTTTTCTATGTTGCTGTTAGGTTTAAAATTTTGTTAAGAAACCTCAAACTGAAAGCTTAATGAAACAAGAAGTGAAATGAAATAAACCAAGCCTAATGTTAAGGAACACGCCCTTTCGCAACGCCGATGACTATAATATATAACACTTATCAATAAAAAGACTTGCTCTTATTCAGTTTAAATTGTGTTTTCCAATCCACAGAACCACAGAAACCTTCACCATTTTCGGCAACTTTCTGGAACACTATACTATAACTATCTAAAACTGTAATGACTCATCGATGTTCACGTGAACATCACTTAACTACCAGTAGTCGGCTGTTCATAGGCGGGGTATGAATGTTTAACATGGGTGAACTAGATTTGTCACATGCTTAATAAAGAGTGGTTTGAAACATATTGTAAGTCAAAAATTTGGGAATTACCTTTATTCATCGTCGCTTCCACTTACATCTGACAGTAATTAACTGTCGCTATCGCTTTCCTCGTTGAAATTGACTATAACTGGTTCTATGATGGTGTCGATGTGGTGGTCAAGCTGCCACATTTTTGTTTCTTCCTTCACAACATGACGGATAGCATTCTGCCAAGCTTCGGGCGTTACTAGCTATATGGAAGTCTCAAGTAAAACCTTAACGTCTGGTAATTTGAAGGTTGTGTTATGGCACGCAATATAACCCTTCACTTGAGCCCAGATGAGCTCTATTGGGTTCAGTTCACAGTGGTAGGGCGGTAACTGCAGCACAGTGACACCACATTGACGGGCCATCTCATCAGTCACGTAACTAATGTTCGCAGGTTTGTGCTGTTTAATTTTTTCATACAATTCCGCTTTCACACATGAATCGTCAAACGGGATTCCTTTTTCGCGCAACCATTGCTGCATGTCACTTTTTCGAGATCCCATAGTCGGTACACGTTCGGCTCGACGACTATGGTAGGAAGCATTATCCATGACGATCACAGAGTTGGGCTCAACTCGCTGAAGCACCCCTTGAAACCAGCTCTCGAAGCAGCTGACATTCATTTCGTCATGGTAATCACCTCCTTTCTTAGAGACGAAAATCAAGTCACACTCTTCTAAAAAGCCACTATCGCTACCAATATGAGTTACGATCAATCTTTGACCTTTCCCTGACGGTCCACGAACACCTGTTGACAAACCTTCAATGCTTGCTTGTCGGTTACTCACTACGTTTTTGTCTATCCAGATTTTTTTAACTGTGTGACCTGCATTTACCCATGTCTCGTCCAAATAATAGATTTTTCTGCTTTGTCGCCTATATTCAATCATTTCGCGTAGGTATTTTCGACGCCAGGCGACTATTTCAGGACTCTCTATCAATACTGACTTCCGATTACGCGTTTCGTAACGAAAATAAATTTCGTGTAGGGATTTCCTCATTACCTCGACGCTCATTTGGGGTATAATTTTATTTTCCTTGATCGCTGCATGTACAGCCTTGAGGGTTGGTATCTCATTCCTAAAGAAGAATGAATGTACGGTTCGCCTTAACGCCATTTTGCTATCGTCATCCAATTTAACGGCCTTTCGTCCCTTCAAATTAAACTTTGGATCAGTAGTAGCTCCAGTTTTCTTCTTTTCATGCACCACCCTGCGAATGGTCCACTCTGGAACGCCTGTCATACGTTCACAACGCGCGAGTGCATCTCCCTGCGACATAGTTCTGTTCAGATAATTGAACACGTTGAGCACAATTTCTTTCGCGTCCCTCTTCAGTGCTTTACGAAGCCGTCTACTTGTTCCCTGGTTTTCAGTACTTCCACTCGTGCCATTTGTACTCTCCATGGTTAAGTATAACCAAAACAGTATCCACAGAAACCACAACAATAACAATCACACAACAATTCTTATAAAAACACACAATATGCGATCGCTCAACGAAACACGTTCCAATGCGTTGCCGACGCCTATGAGTCTGCCGGTCGAGGCGTGTCTTTGATTTCATTGGTTCTACCGGCGGAGAACAATCAGCCATTATTTCCATCTCTGTCTGTGCTGTTGACCACCGCAAAGCCACAGAAGCGACATATGTCGTACGCTATACAGCTGTACTGGAAGGAAGCCGGGATCGATCTCTGATCACGTGTTGATCACGCGTATGAGTCATTACAGTTTTAAATAGTTGTAGTATAGCAATATATGGAATTTACGAACTATTGTGAAATGTCAACAACTGGTAAACTGGCGGCTTAAACCTGATCGACTTGTAAGTAGTATAAACTTGCATCCTGACCACTGACTACCTGATTTTGCCGACAAACAAATCGTATGGTTGCTGCTTTTGCCTAGTCTGGATTCGTTGGTGGTGACAGACGTAGCTAGCGTTTTCGTTAGGAGGAGGAAAAAGTTTTAGGTATCTAGGTCCAAAGCGCTACGAACCCAGAAACACTGTTATAATCTTTATATTTTTTCCTGTATTTGCCAATTTTTTATTAGGTTGCCTATCTTCAATGATAATGTAAGATTTTGTCTTTGAGAGACTACTACTACGCTCTAGCTATTTTTTTTATTTTATATTGTTGTATGCACAATGTTTGTCAAGCTTCTTACCATTATATTGCCCTGTAATTGGATTGGGGAGGGGGGGGGGCGTGCCGTTAAACAAAAGCCTAAGGATTGTCTTATGGTTATGTTTTAACGTGCATGACACTTAGAAATCCAGTGATACATTCCAGGTCCTAAACTACAGGATGCCCAATTCTTTGTTTTTTAGTACCGAATCACCCAAAGCATATAAGTTATTAACACCCTGAATATATCTCTACTTGGGATAGACTTCACTTGTCATCTCATTTCTTAATTTAAAAAGCATGTATTTCGAGATATCAACCCGATAAACAATTTTTTACAGGTTGCTACAAACTACAAATTAGCACGCTTGTTTTCTTTTGTATACAATAAATATGTTGTAAGAGGAGTGCTGTATTTCCAGACTACTTAAGCTATTTTTATACACAATGCGGGCTACTCACTACTTGACAATGTAATCAAACTGTGGTGTTCTAATTACAGAAGCCATCTGGATTAAATAAAAATAACAGTAACATGACTCTTATTTATGTTCTCATTTTATAATTGTATATGCAGATTATTTTCTGACATACACAGAAAGAGAGCTAATCGATCAGTTGCTTGTAATCTAAATTCGATATCTACTCATTTTCCTTCCTACACCACTGTGATGACAAAAAACCATGTCAGTCAATCGCTCAAACTTCGTTTCTTGACATTTCAGAAGATCCTGATCATTTAAAAAAAACCGTTTTCTAAATGCCAGGTTATGATTCTGATCATCATCGCGATCTGCTCTTTCGTAGAATAAGGAAACTCAACTGATCTTCAATTACTTTTTAGTGACTGTACAGCTCAACTAATATGATAGTTTCTATAGATGGGAAGACAATCACAGTTATTGGCAACAATTTGAAAAAGGTGCCAATATTTCTCCGATTTTTCAAGGCGGCAGAATGTCGAGGACTTGAAGGTTTGGTTAGATATTTACTATATGCAAATACCAGAACAACTTTTAATCATGCTTTTAACTGTTTTATTTTGAAGGTAAATTGGTCCTTGATTCTGAGGCACTAATGTATTTTCCAAACTACATCGTAACTAGGGTTATTCGATCGTTTGCGTGCAAAATACCATTGTATTAAATTTATTGTACGTACTAGAAATGAGGCCGCTGATATACAGGGTGTTTCAGAACTAAGGGATCAAACTTCTAGGGGTTATTCAGTTTAACATTAGAAAACATTTGAGTATTGGGACCCATATCCGGAAAAGTGTCTCTACGGCGCGTTAAAATTTAGAAAGGCGATGAATTGCCTAAATCGGATTTAATGCATTTAATTTTTGCCTTTTGTACATGATATCATCACAACAAGTGCTCAAAATGTCTTCCTCCAACCTGAATACACCGATATAAACGTCGCACATGATTTCGGCGGACTAAAAATTCGTAAATCTAGCGACGTTAAATCGGGTGACCTAGGAGGCCAAGAAACTGCTCCTCCTGTGGCAATCCAACGTTACCCAAACCGCTGAGCCAAATACTCACGTACTTGTACAGCAAAGTGAGCCGGCGCTCCATCATGCTGAAACCACATTTGCTGTCGAACATTCAATGGAACATTTTCAAGAAGTTCTGGAAGAACTTCTTCCAATATACGCCGGTAAATAGGTCCTGTTAACCGTTCCGGTAGAAGATATGGCCTAATCAAATAATCATCTCCGATGCCTGCCCATACGTTGACAGACCAACTTTGCTGATGTTTTCTAGGAAAAATTGCATGGGGATTTTCTTTATCCCAAACGTGGCTATTCCTACTATTTAAAATACCGTCTGTTGTGAAATAGGCTTCATCTGTCCATAAAACATAGCGTAAAAAAATTTATTGAGCAGCGATTTGATGAAGAAACCATTGACAAGATTGAACTGTAGGATGATATCGGCTGCAGTCAATTCTTGAACTTTCTGGAAGTGGTAATGATAAAGTTGTTGCTCGTGTAGCACCCGTCAGACGGAAGCGTTACTCGTATTCATATCCTCAGCAATGTGACGTGTGCTACTTGATGGTTCGACGGCAACTCGCTAAAGGACCTCTTCTTCAAATTCGACCGTTCTTACGGTTCGAGCAACACCAGTATCATGCATGTTGGTGTTAAACATTCCTGTCTCGGAGAGCCGCCGATGAATAGCAATAATCGTTTTGTATCCCGGATGCTGTCGTACGAGATAAGGTTCTTGATACAACCGCGCTGCTGCTCGTGCATAGATTGTTGCTCCGTATGCCAAATGCATATCCGCCAATTCTTGATTGGTAAAGTTTTCCATTAGCAACAATTAATTTTTGTTAAATTCTTTCAAACTTCACAAATACGATAGCACGACTAAGGCGATATGGAATGCAGCTACAAAAAACAAGCTCTGTTATCGTTTTTAAATATAACAACACACAAGCGCCGGATATGGGTCCCTATACTCAAATGTTTTCTACTGTTACACTAAATAACCCCTACAAGTTTAATCCCATAGTTCTGAAACACCCTGTATAGTTGAAACAATATTGAGGATAATATTTCGATATTAATTTGTTTGGTCGATAAATAAGTTACTGAATGGACAGACAGTTAATATTTCCTAGTATTATCGATTGAACATTAGTCATTGAATTCCGTGGGTTGCAAAGTAGCGGTATGTATTTTTAATACAGATTTGGTATCCATATAGTCCAGGCAGAATTTTCGCATAATATGCTCAAAAATTGTTAAACTATTTTTATAACCGAATACCAAAGTTTTTTGCTCTTTGTGAAGGCTCTTAAGAATGTTCATCTAGCTTTGGTAGTTTTCGACATGTAACAGAGATTCAATATTTGAAAAGTGCGAAATACCTATGCCATTTTCTATCCCGAAAAGTAATGGACAAAACGAAAATTTCATTTCTGCCAAAATTCCTATATTTTCTTCAAACGCTATTAATAAAATCCTAAATATTTTTAAGGGGTATTGTTCTTGTAAATCTTTGGCAACACTCAAATTTTATATTTCGCACTTTTACAAATATTAAATCGCTTATATATTGAAAACTGTCAACTTAAGAGGATAGCTCTTGAGAAACTTGGTTGCACAGAACGACCCAAGTAACCTGAAAAGACTTTATAGCTAATAACAAGAATTTTTGGTATTCGTTCGAAAAAATTGTTTAAACAATATTTAACGGAATTTAGGGCCTGGCAACACACATATTCTTTGAAAGGGATACCTTTTGATCAAAATTATGCAAAAATGGACTCCTGGAAAATCGAACCTACATTGTAAAATGAAAACATTAAATATTTATCGATAGCCTGGCAATGATCCTACAAAACATGATAAATTGTTCACAATTCAGTTAACATTTTCTAAAATATACACCAAGTCGTATGCATCGTCTGTCGTACTATAAAAATCTTGTACGTTTAGTGATGTAAGTATTTTTAACACACGTAACGTATGGTCACAGTATATGGAACAGGCATAAAATAAAACTTTCCCAAAATAGCGATGATCCCCAAAATGAGGTATGTGCTTTGGTATGGATACAAGTCTAGGGAAACTGATTTATACCCCATATGTTGAAGTTGTGTACGATAAAAATCACGAAGACATTCCTAGAAACAGATTGAGCGTTAAATATGCTGTTTGATATATAAAGAACCACGCCAGATGTCATAGAAGTGAAGTTTTATACATATATCTAAAGCGTAGTTTCACCTTCAATCTAAATTACAGTCTGATCCACTGTTCTCTGTGTTTTTTTACTTGCCACCCCAATTGCCGAGGAAGAGAATCACGAAAGTATGTTTCTTAGATATTACACGACATGTAAATTACGAAAAGCGTCTCTGTCTGTCCGGCTGTCCCTCTGTCCACTGATCCTTGAACCCTTTATACCTTGGAAGGTACCGCTCCGATTGTTATGAAATTTAGTCCAAGTTACTGTGTCAGGGGCGAAGAGCCTTGTATGATTTGGAAGTAATCTACCGGCGGCTGGGCAACGCGCAAAAAGTAAAAATCGAACAAACCTCGTTTTTGAGGTTCCTTTTCAAAAAAATTTTTGGTGATGTTGAAAGTTTGTGGTTGGGGGTACAGTGTTGTAAACTTTGTGGTTTTGAGGTCAATAGTAATAGTAATATTTATTTGTCTCCAAAATATACAACCATTACATTTTTTATTTAATGACACATTAAGACACATTAGGAGCCCTAGAATGGTGACCTTTGTGCGCGGGTAAAAAAAAATAGAAAATACTTATATAATAACGATGACGTAAAACAATAAGTCAAAAAGTTTCTCATCCCCGTAACATTACACACCTGTTAGATATATGGGATTTTCATATATTTCCCATTATTTGCAATTGCAACAGAAACATGTTATTTATTTTTTATAGTTTGAGATTTTTTCTATACTCCAACCACCACGAAGGCCTAAAGCCTAAACACCCACGGGGTACCGTGTTGCTATAGGGGGATACAGGGGAAACATGCACACTTTCTGGCCCCGCCTACGAGATCCGTCGGGTGGTACCTCCGCGTTCGACAGTCAGAGACCGTCTGCCACCTACGGACAATCACAACATCCATAGCCAAGTGAAAAATTTCTCCTGGAACGGGATTCGAACCCGCACAGCGCACTGCGACTGGTCAGGAGACCGAAGAGTCTACTACTGCGGCCACCGCTGCTGCCTGATGTAGGGTTTTACGATATATGGTAGTAGAAGATACCTAGTCAAGTTCCGGTTCGATTCCAGTCTTTTTAATAGGCTTGACACTTCCTTTTTTTGTGCAAGTGCATACAGATACTATATTATATATTATTCCACGTTATATGTGGACACAAATAAAAAGACATACTAATTACATTATCTGTTACATATCTGTATAATGTAGATTGACTTTATCCCATTGCTTTGATCGGATTTTGGTTGAATTGGTGGGAAGTACCGAGCCACTCTACTTGACGCAAATTTTCCAAATATGAATTGGTTGGTAAATCTTATCCATTTGTTTCAGTGTGGAAAGTGGTTGGGAGAATCCGTTCCGGCCGGGGGGCGACCTGAGTCGAGAGGCAGACGAAATCGTCGAACTAATCAAGGGCGGTAAGCCCATTACCCCCACTCCTGGCCAAGCGCCATCCATACCTGACGACCAGCTGGACGGACATCATCAGCAGAACAGCGTGCACCCAAACCAGGTCAGTATTTCACATATAAATATTTTTAGATCCAGGTGGGATTTCTTCATTTTTGGTGTAAAGCATATAAACATATCAGGAGACTATTTTTTGCAATACTCAATGCAAGATATCATATACAATTATGCATATGTGGATTAAGTCACTACCGACTATCAGTTATTGTTTTCATCGAGTCCATGGATCAGAAGTTCGGTAGCGATTTTATAATTTACATTTCATACCGTAACGCTGATAAGGCTTAATGATGATTTATGATCTAGGAACCTGTGACACAATCTCCAAAGAAGGCCACCCAGCTGAACTCTACTCCGAAGAGTGCGAACGGTACGACGAAAGTGGACGCAAAACCTGGTGCAGTAGATGTCCAACGGACGACGTTGAAACCCCAAGCAAATGTTCAGGTACAATAACTAATTAAATAAACACTAATCACATTGCGTTACTTTTTAAAGCACCACCCTTTATCTTCAGATTGCCGCCATACAATCGTCTAGTACTACTGGAACTGCTTTCATTACAACATAAAAACTTCATACAACATGTACAAAATGTACATACTAGGGATGTCTTTTAAGTTTTGCATATAGAAATATAGTAGGCCGCGCGGATCGAACGTCAGTACTGAATCTTAACCTCGCTCTTTAGTAAACTTAAATTCAAAGTTTCACTACAATACGTGCACTGTTCTCACTACAGTGAATTCTTAAGTGTCACCAAGTCATTAGAAAAACGGAACTCAACCGAGAACATTCTCGCGCCATAATTTATTACAACTTTCAGAGACAATTATCGCAACAAGAATGCCTTGCTGAGTTAGTCTGTTTTCGGCAACGAAGCGCCACATCAGTCGACAATTTCCCGTTGGTATGGAGAATTCAAACGTGGACGGGTGATTCTTAGCGACGATCCCAGGGTGGCTGCACCAAAAACGGCAGTCACACAAGAAAACGTTGATGCTGTGCGCAAACTCATGTGACATATCGCGAGATTGAGGCGTCCTTGAAGATCTCAAAGACCTCAATTCAAAAAATTTTACATGAAGAATTAGGAGTAAGAAAATTAGTCTCCCATTGGATACCCCACCTGTTGACTGAAGAGCAGAAAGCAGCCAGGGTTAATTGGTGTCAAAAAACGCTTGACCGTTTCAATTCCGGAAACTCAAAAAATGTGTACAGCATTGTTAGTGGTGATGAATCGTGGATTTACTGTTATGAACCAGAAAATAAACGACAGTCGGCTGTTTGGGTGTTCCAAGGTGAAGAAAAGCCAACAGAAACCATCCGTGCTCGAAGTGTTTCGAAAAAGATGGTCGCGACATTTGTGTCAAAAGCGGGTCATATTGCAACAATTCCTCTTAATGAGCAAAGAACTGTTACTGCGGATTGGTATACCACCATTTGTTTGCCAAAAGTCATCACCGAGCTTCGAAAAATCAACCCCGAAAGAAGAATCATCCTCCACCAAGACATTGCAAGCTCGCACACAGCCCAAAAACAAGGCAGTATTTAACGGAAGAAAACGTGGAATTATTGGACCATCCTCCATATAGTCTCGATCTAAGTACTAACGATTTCTTTAATTTCCAGAAAATTAAAAACAGACTGCGTGGTCAAAAGTTCCAGTCACCAGAAGAAGCAGTTGACGCATTCAAAAATTCTGTTTTGGATCTGCCAGCAAACGAGTGTGCGAAAATTGGTTCGAGCGCATGCAGATGTGTATTAATCTTCGTGGAGAATACTTCGAAAAACAATAAAGACATTTAAAACTACCTACCGTGTTGTTTTATTTCCATATGCAAAACTTAAAAGACATCCCTCGTATTCTATGAATCAGGTAGAAAAAAGCAATGGTGCTACAGGATTCCCCTCTGTGTTAACAAAGTATATAAAATATTTACTCGTCTCAAGCACACTGATGTGTTAAACGATAGTCGTTTGCATTCATTTAATTGATATGGAAACTCTTTATCTATATTGTACGCACTGATTAAGCATTTTTATTTCATGACTAAAAATAGCCAAAAAAGGTGAATCTACGGATCATAAAATGAAAGGTCAGTGCTTCGAACTTGATATTTGTAATGCAGCTGTATCTAGACATTTTATATCTCTTGCAACTTGCCAGATTAATGAAATACTGATTATTTTGTGTCAAGATTATGAAATCTGACTGAAGTTGCAAAGCTAGATACAGTGCTTTTACTTTTTATAAATAGTGCTACAAGAGATTAATAGGAGATACTTAGTGGTATTAGACTTTAGGCCAGTTTCTTACAGAGCCTCAAATATAATTTCCAAGCTGGGCATGTCTTGACCGCTGCTACTTGTTGCATCATAGCTATCCTGGCACTACAGCTTCTGAAAACCAGATTGTGGAATGCGATATTATCTTTAACAGATCTAAGAAAGAAGAAAGTAGGGAATACTGGCTCTCAAGTGCTACAAACTTCCAACGAGAAAAGTGCTAGGTTCCAGCAATAATATAACTGTCGCCTTGTCATTCAGAATCCAGATCTGATCGACTGACAAGAAGGGCTGCTAAAATCAGAATAACGACTACACCACAGACACAAAGCCTTCATATCTCATGTAGAGGATGTGTGTGTATGGGGGAGAGGCTTCTATAGCTAATGAAAGGGAGCCTCACATAGGAAACCGTACGAAAATGCGGGTAAAGGAGCATTTCTTTTTAGAGTAGCGAAAGGAGCAGCCGAGGAGCTGTCTCATACTTGGCTTTAAACGGGAGTGTCAGCAGTTCATTACAGAGCTGGCTGCTGCTCAACTGAAGAGCCACATTAAAAATGGTGAATCAAATTACCATGGCTTACCTAAGAAGTTGACCGTCTCATTTCTAACGCCTAGTGGGTTACGGTGTGTGACTGAGGGTCTCGTTGTGGCTTGCCAGGATGGTGTCTTTGATACTTAAATATACAGGGTTATCCAAATTAAGTGTCCACCATTAGTAACTTTGTTATTAGTGAAAATACAAAGTTGTTTGAATTAGCAAACTAGTAGCATTTTTAACGCTGGTAAAAATGAGAAATAAAAAAAAACAATTGAGAGTCGTTATTTTGAAATAACATTTTTTTAAATGGAAACCCCTGTATATTATATTTTTTTCTGTTAAAGCATCAAATTTTAAACAAAAAAGCTTACAATAACTTTTCTCCTAGGTTACAAATTGTTGAAGTTATGGCCTCCAATCTGAAACAATTAAATTGTATCGACAAACTTTATTTTCAACATCAACTTATAATCTTACAAAATACAATAACAATTTTTTTTAAAGAAGATGCTCGAAAACACCACCTTGTTCTTCAATACATTTTTGGGCACGTTTTTCAACTGCTCGAACTGTCTTAAGTATGGTCCTACCATCTATCTGGGTTATCTTTTCCCTAACTGCAGTCTTTAACGCGTCAAGGTTATCGTACCTTCGCTTGTAAATTTGGTTCTTTAAGTAACCCCACAAGAAGTAATCAAGTGGGTTTAGATCTGGTGATCTGGGAGGCCACTGTATTGGGCCATTTGTTCCTATCCACTGATCATTAAAAGTAGTACTTAGAAAATGATAAGTACCTCTGGAGTTGTGGGCAGGTGCGCCATCTTGCTGAAAATGCAGATGATGTCTACTTATAAGATCCAATTCGTCTAAGAAATTAGTCAGAATTTCTGACATAAATTCCACATATCTTTCACCAGTTAGGGTTCCCTCATAAAAGAACGGGCCAACAATTTTTGAACCAATTATACCGCACCAAACGTTGAAACTGAAACGGACTTGTGGGCCTCTTGGATGTACTAACAAAAGATTTTCTCTTGACCAATAATGGTGCTTTTTCTATTAAACATTCCAGAATTTGAAACATTTGATTCATCTGTCCATAAAAGGTAACGAAAGTTATTTACATTTTGGCGACAGAAGCTGAGATACCAATGGCAAAAAACAAGTCTTCTCTCTGGATCCCCTGCCAAAAGCGTTTGAACTGGTCGGTACTTATACGGAATAAATTTGTATTTTTTTAAAATCCTTTGAACAGTACCATAACTGAAATTAGAGTCCTTGAGAATATCTGCTATTGAATTCTCACGATAAGCTTCAAAATATCCAATAACTGCAATTTCCGTGGCCTCGCTTATTATGAATTCTTTTTTTGCCCTTGTTTTAGCAAAAACATTTTCGTTGCCCCTAAATTTTCGATGAAGTCTCAGAAAATATCGTTCATACGGTTGAATGCGAGCGGGATATAATTCACTGTAGTATCTCTTGCTCTCAAGGAGGATTTTCTGCACACTAAATAGCATTCTAACATATCACACTTTTCTTCATGGGAGAACATTTTTCTTTAAATTAATGACACAATAAAGCTTATAAACAAGTATTTACACTAATGTTTGACATTATTTGATTTTATCATTGTTTTCCAAAGCCTTCTAGTTGCGAGTATGTCCAGTTTAACAATTTGTCGCTTATCTTAATGCTGTCAAATCGCGAACGCCATGTTGTTTTCATAGCCGTCTTAATATTATAATACTGCAAATAATTAAAAATATTTATCGTTATTTTCACTTTATTTTTGACTTTAGCGGAAAAGTCATTATGAACTTTTTTGTTTAAAATTTGATGCTTTAACAGAAAAAAATATAATATACAGGGGTTTCCATTTAAAAAAATGTTATTTTACTGAAAAAAATCAAAATAACGACTCTCAATTGTTTTTTTTTATTTCTCATTTTTACCAGCGTTAAAAATGCTACTAGTTTGCTAATTCAAACAACTTTGTATTTTCACTAATAACAAAGTTACTAATGGTGGACACTTAATTTGGATAACCCTGTATCGTAGTATGGTTGTGGGTACGGGTGTATGCGATGTCAGCGCTTATGTCTATCGGAACAACGCAGCACTGCAAATGGTTTGCTACCATTGCTACTATATGTTCACTTACTGGTATTACTCGTTACCCACTGTCGGACTGGTGCAGACGACTAAGCCCTACATAGTCCCTTCGATCAGAAACAGAAGGAGGAGGAAGAACAGACCAAGTATCAAGACTGCTAACTATGGATCCTTGGTTTCTCTTTGCAATAATTGATCCAACCGTAAGTAATATCTAGGGAGGCCGAAGATGGGCCTCAGTGGAGCCTAGGTGCTATGATTTTAACAGACTGCCCTCTCTCCAATATATAATTCTTTAGTGTTTAGTAACAAGTTGAGTAATTGCTCTTATATTGTCCACAGGTCGAGCACGTAAACATCAAGAAAAAGCCGAAGTGCAAGTGCTGTGTGATCCAGTGAGCCCCCGCTGGTAGGGTGGCTGCTGTTCGCTAAACACGACGAAGATGATAATGATCCTGCAACAGCTGTTGACGATGATGAAGATGACTGATGGGTGGTGTTGTGTCTGTGATATTTTAGTTGTCTCCGATGGACTTACTTCGGAGCGGACTATGGACAATGGATAACGGGTGCGGAAAGACGTGATGATTTTAAGGATCAGATGATGAAAGGAGATGGGGGTCACGTTGATGTTTGTATCAAGAAATGATAATTAAAAGAACAGTAAAAAAACGCAAAAAGAAATCAATGGAAATTATATGGTGGTATGTGGTGCTAGATATGTCATCTGAGACCCGGCAGTCGTGAGCCAGAAGCCATATGATGTCAGATTAAGTGACAGTCAGGTGGGCTCAGAATGGACCCAGACATATTATGTCAAATGACATGGTGTCCTTGGTATCAGGCTTAAGCACTATAGAATATATGCTTAGATCTAGGTTGACTGAGCATCTACCGTATTTTCAAGCGAAAAGCCCTAAAGGCATTGGCAAGCCCAGGAATTTGCTTATTGGTACCAAGTTGCATGTGAGTAATTTGTCATTAGGAAGGTGATGAGTATTCTTGGAAAACAGTAGTGTTGATCAGTACAAATATAAAAAGAACGATTTAATAATTTTACATTCCTACCGCTCTGAACCACTTTCAATTTATCGATGAAAAAAACCGTTTTAGATCGATATCAAAAAATTCGGACTTCAACGTGACCTACCCTAGGGTTGAAAAAGGAACACTTGACCAACAAAGTACCAACCCATTTAGATATATCATTTTTTCAAAGTACTAATGAAATATACAATCTTCAAAAGAATCTTTTCATTACTTGACGAATTCAGATATGCAAGGTGATATAGTTTTTACTCTTTTCAGTGCAAAACTAGAATGGACAAATTACGCTATTTTCAAATAATTGTTTGGCCATCTATCTGGCCTATCAGAGGTATGTAAAATATTTGTTTATATTTTATATAACTGAATTGAAGTCTAGTATCACCTTGTATATTCAGTACCACTCTTATATGACATTGTGAGATTGGAAATACTTGTATAATCCTCTAGGACTAAGATATTTGATTGATACTATTACGTATGTTGATACGTATTTCAAGTGTCTGTTTTGTGAACCTAGAAGGTGTAGAGAATGCATTCAAAAATAATGGTTCTAACATTTCTAGTTCCTTATAGCTAAATGTTAGTATTGGCTTATGCATGAGTGATATTCAAGGTAATAATTTATATGACATAGACACTGGCTGAAATATTTTTTTAAGTATCAACCAGATACCTAAAGTCAGATGTAGACACTGAAAGCAGCTGTAAGAATGTGCTTGAGCTATGCGAGGCAATTTTTTGTACATTTTTGTATACCACCATTCTTAGTAGCAATATCACTAAATTTCATTTATTATTTTGATTATATTGGAATATTCATTTATATCATGTCTCGAAGATAGGTATTTATGTATTTATTCTGAGCTTCTAGTTATATACTACATAATATTTTGGAGACACCTTGGCGGAAATATCTTGAGAAAATAATCTTGATTCATATATCATAATGTTGTTGACTCAGAGTTCTAATTTTGAATAGTACAAAGGAAAAATCAAATAACTTAAGTACCTTTCTCTATAAACCTTTTATCACAGATACAACATGCTTTTTCTGATATAGCAAAATCTTTAAATGTTGTTGCAATTCAAATTGTTTAAACTTGTGAATTCTCCTTAACAGATATAATAAAAATATAATGTATTTAATTGTACAGATGAAAGTGTATTGTATATTTTTAAGTGAAGATATGAAAGGTGTACAAAATATTTCTCAAGAATTAACTGTGTATTAGCAATATGGCAATGTATGATATTTATCAAGGTTAAATACTTTGTTTTTGAGATAAAGTGAGCACAGTTAGGAGCTAATTTTCCGAAATGTTGTTTTATTTTAAATTCGTATATACTTTTAAAATAACATAATAAATATGTTTTATTTACTTAAATGACATATTTTTCAAACACACAGTATTACAATGTGGAGTGCTATATATTTTATGGTGCTTCAGATATTTTGTTTCTCAATAAATCCTGTTAAAGATGTGTCTCTTTTTTATCACCTAAATTACATCATTCCTACAAAATTATGTTATATTGTGAGTCAACGTGAAAATCTAGTCATTCTACCAACATCTGTTATGCGGTAAGGACAATTCTATTACGAAATTCGCACAACAGTTTAAGAATATTTCTCATGAACTTGAAATTTAGAATAAAACAACATATATAATGATGTCTATAATTTCATGTCCCAGCGTTACTCCAAGAACTTTTCTATTATCAGTACCTTCAATACTAGGAGAGTTCAAAGAAAAAAATAGAATATCAGGTTAATATGACATTATTTTTTGAATTGCCACTGAAAGTACCAGGCGCAAAATGTGGAATTTGACCACCGGTTAATTCTAAAAGTATGCCAAATGTATCAGAGTGCTGCAAAACGTTGTCGTCTCAAAAACGTTGAAAGGAACATCCGTGTATTTTTACACCATCAGATTTGCGAATTTTCTCTTAATATCAGTTTTAATACTGCTTTATTAGCATTATAGATTATACATGATAAAGGATAAGGTGTTTCATTGGAAAAAACATTGTTGTGCCACGGAATTAATAATAATAATAATAATAAAGCCCAACAGTACAGATACCATTTATAGAGCAATACATAGTACAGTACAATGGTTTAATTTACACAGTCTGTGTGCCATAAAGTGATAAACAGTACCCCGTATACCTCTAATTAATTTGGAAATGCATACCCATCGTTTTCGAATATCTTTTATAGTTTTTCTGTTAACTAATCCTTTTCGTTGGGATATCCTGTATTTTTTTATATTCCGACTACCACGAAGGCCTAAACACCCATGGGGTACCGTGGGGCTATAGGGAGATACAGGGGAAAGGGAGAACGCCACACGGACTCTGGTGAGGGAACACGTGTGCATGCAACATGCACACATTCTGGCCCGCCTACGAGATCCGCCGGGTGGTACCTCTGCGTTCGACAGTCAGAGACCGTCTACCACCTACGGACAATCACAACATCCATATCCAAGAGAAAAAGTTCTCTTGGGACGGGATTCGAACCCACACAGCACACGGCGACTGATCAGGAGACCGAAGAGTCTACTACTGCGGCCACCGCTGCTGCCTGAATATATTGTGTTCACGTGATTTTTATTATGTCGTAAATATGAGTTAGTTTTCGTAAAATGGTGCAGGCAGGCTCACCCTCAGGGGCTAAAGCACTAAATCTTAACACTCTATTTCACCAAAAGAAAGCGTTTCTGGGCTTGGCGCCCAATGGAACATTTGATCAGCACAACATGAACTATCCATATACGAATTTTGATTAAAATTGACAGGTGGTCAAATTCCATGTGTTGTGTCTGCTAGTAATGTAGAAGGTTTTATGTCAAAATGAAGTCTCCATAATGGCTGGAAACCTCAAATACAGATTCTTCATATTCCTAAAATATCTGTAACAGTGTCTCTATTGTTAAGGTATGTTGGAGTACCGTTGGGTATCTCACCGATTTTCACAAAATTTTTACTCAATTTGCAGTTTTTTGTGGATACTTATTACAGGGTTCATTCATTTTTAATTCATACATGGAAATGCGTTTGGTGTGGTATTTGATTGGTTGGTAATTAGCCTTTTTATCAAGAGAATCGTCACATATAGTGATACCAGTAGTACTATACCACTCAAAACATTTGCTATGGGCAGTACATAGTATTTCCTGTTACACAGAAATTATTCTTGAATTGTCTGGTATTAGTGGTAACATACTGCATGTTTATGTGAATTGGATCTGTATAGACTTTGATTACTGCATATTTCTTCAATTATCAACATTTTACTTTACTTATATCCTGAATATTATGTGACGCCATAGAATAGAGCTAGCGATGTTAAAATAGCAACTACATTATTTTTATATACAAATGGCTTGGAGGCATTGTCTGTAATCCTGAACATTTCGGAACTACGTGGTAAAAAGTAGCGATATGTTAGTCCTATATCTTTCTGTAAGCTGTGCATGCTTTTTGTAACATGTCAAGAGCTCTTATTCATTTGCACTAGTAAGGCAAATCTGGTGAAATCGAATGTCTTTGATTAATTGGCATGGTCTTTCATTAAAGCATAAAATACAAAATGAATTCTATTCAGTTTATTTTTTGAAAAGTTAGGTTTCAAGTGATTTTGAGAAAAAATCTATCGTAGATTCTTTTATTAAGAACATTCGAAGCAGGACTAATTTTTTACAGTTTGGTTTCAAAAAAATTGGTGAATATGATCTCTTCACAAGTTACGATACTTGTTACAAATGGTATTTTTCTCCACATGCTGTATGATTTGCGAAACATAATTATGTTGAATGTGTTTTGTATGTTTGATAAATATACGTGGGGGTTTTAGAGCCAGAGATGCAAGACTCAAGACTGTATGCCTTACATAGACAGCTGAAATCTTTTTTAGTGACTCTCAGGCGTGGAAGCTAGACAGATTATTTCTGTCCAAGATGTGAGTTACTTTGAAAAGCCTGCAATCGTTTTAACGTTTTCTTCGATTTTGCTTAAATGGTTATAGGTGAAACTGCATATGATATTCGCCCCCAAAGGTATCCAAATCTAAATCAATCCAAATTAAGGTATGTGATTTTTGCTGTCGCAATTTTGCTCAAAACGTTTTGAAAAAATTACCGATGCTATTATATTGTTATATTCCTACATATCCGTGGTTTTTATAGATTTGTGGAACGAATAGGTCGGAGAACAAATATTTTGGAGTTGTTTTCCAATTTTCTTCAATTTCTAACATTATAAACGTAGGATATCATAAGTTGACTTACTTAAATGTTTAACATACATATGCATATTTGTGCATTTTTTTAGGTTGTACACTCAAAATATTGACTTGTTTCCCGAGAAACTGCGAAAAACCGCATTTTCGATTTATGGTGATTTTTCGGACAAGAAATCATGTTGTTGTTAACGGAACTGAAAGATTAGTAGAAAAATTGTAGAACATCAGCGTGCGCGCGGTTTTTTCTATTTTTCCAGTTTTCAGGGCAACATAACACGATTTTGATGATGATACCTGAAAGAGTACACAAAATATATACGCGCATTGAACTTTTGAATTAGCTAAGTTGAAAATATCTGAATATGGAAAAAACGGTGAAAATAAAAAATACCAGGTGACTCAACTATTGCTTTACTGACCAAAAGCGTCTAAAATCGAAGCATGTGAAAATGCGATTTTTCCAATTTTCGCATTTTCCGGAAAATTTTGAGTGTGGAAACTTATGCTGTCATACGTTTGAAGTTCCAAAAAGTTGGAAAAATACGGTGAAAATGCTGTTTTTTCTGTATTTGTAGATTTTTAGACAAAAAACTCATGATTTCGTTAGTGGATCTGAAAAGAACGGAAGAAAGCACTTATATACAGTGGCCTTTTAAGTTTTCGAAATTAAATATATTTTCAATTTTTTCGAGTTTTTGAGGTTAGGGGCATCTAGGGAGGGGGGCCTGGATGTGAAGATTTGGCTAAGGTGATTTGGCCCAATATGTCTTAGTTTGGATTGACCCAGATTTAAATACCTTTTGGGGCAATTTGCATATACGTCATAAAATAGTACGACGAAAAAATAGGGAAGATAGGCGAAAGGCAGATCTGCAACATACCAAAAAATGACCCTAGTAAAAGTTTCACTCATTTTGAGATATTAATTTTTTTTTGTATTTTTCGAAAAAAATCCTCGTTTGATCTAACTTTTGCTGCTCATTAAGCTCATTAAGCAGGTAATTTATCGCAGTACCTAGCAGTAGCAATCTAGTATAGTTATATTTCATTGCTGAATACCAAATTTGAGTAAAATAGTTTTCTAAAATAAAAATTATGAAGAGGAAATTAGTTTGTCAAGTTTACCTACTTGTATTTATCCAAAATGATATTTCAAATGACAGACCAACTATCTGAGAACATTTTGCAAAAAAAATCATACAGATATCCTGTTAATTCTAGGCACAGCAACAAAAGATAGATTGAAAAAAGAGAGACAAAAAATTGATATCTCAAAAACAGTGAAACTTTTACTAGGCTCATTTTTTGGTATATCATTGTAGATTTGCCTCCGCCAATCGTCCCTATTTTTTGTCATACTATTTAACGGACTGGTATGTAGTTTCGCCTAAAGCCAATTTCAGACCTACTAGACATTTAGGTCTTGATAACTTTATAATTCGAATGACATTGATAAGAGCATGGGTTAAAGTCAAGTGAGTTTTTCGTATCTGATTTTGAAACTATCCTCACGCGCACGTATGAAGCTATAGCTAGACACCATTTCCATCAAATGTTGTATACTCAAAACACTGTTGAGCATAGGATCCACGAATATTAAAATGAACTAGTGATAATGATCACTCTAGAACTGAATGGTTCATAGTAAGAAAGACTTGTACTATATTTAGGAGCGAATAAGCTTGTTTTGCTTGAAAACTATAGTTTTAGATTGTACATTTTATGGATGAAACGATGATGTATTTTGTTATATTTACAAGGATATATTTTTTGGATGTCAATTATCTCTTCTTTTTATATAACATGGCAGTAAATCAGCAGCTTTTACTTTTTCTTGGTTGTGAATCTTGATGAGAACTTAGCAATATACATATTATTTTTTATTAATAATTGTACTTCCCACGCAGATTTTATATTATGTATCTAATAATTGTTATCCCATTTTATATATTTGTGTATTATAGTGTACTATAAATTAACGTATTATTTTATTTATAAACTATGTCATATTACATTGAATATAGTTTGATGTACCGACACTACTTACTAGTATTTTATTTTTCACTCTTACTCCTATAAAAGCCCCATAACTGGAGGTGTGCAAGACTATAATGCATATATTTTACCATGGTAGATATTTAAACACGTTTGAGAAAAGAATAAAAAATCCTTTATCGAGGGGATATGACTAAATGGTAGTTTTTGAAGATAACACTGAAAGATTTCTATGTTTTTGGAATACTCGCATGTGTCAGTAATACGTAAAATAAGCTTTTTTGAAAGAGTATAAGTGTAATCAGTCGATAAGTATGGAAAGATGCAACTACTTATACAGCTGTGTAATTCAAGTTGCATAAGACTCGCTACAAAATATAAGAAAGAACCCATTACAGTCCAGGAGACGAAACCAAAATACAGTTTTACTACGAACTAGAATCTTGAGAAAACAAATGATATTTTTATGGCAACGCATCTTCAAAGATCAAGTAACTTAAATTTCCGTGAGGGGTTTTTGCGGAAAAGATTATTTTGTTTTTTGTAAATTGCACATTGAAGTTATTTTATTACTTCCCAGAATGTTTAATGATTTTAATTTCAATCTTGGTGAGTGGATTAAAGAATATAGTCTGGTGTAATAAACATGCAACACCACAAGCGGGAGCAGTCGATGTTTTGTTGTGAATTGAAAGGTTTATATGGGCGACTCCAGAAATTTTTCTCATGTTAAGGTGCTAACTAAATCGTATAATATATTCTGCATAGCGCCCCAAAATTTGAATGTAGCTATGGGGTGACATACAGGTTTTGAGAATAACTGTTCGGACGATGGTCTGGAAAGTACCCAGAAAGTACTACAGTTGTTTTTCGAAATGAAAATGCAACATACAATTTAAATTTTATTAATAAGCGTCACAATCTCCGTTATGCATCAAAATTAATATTTGTAACCTCCGTTGATATCATACTGTTTATCTGGGGAGGTAACTTGTTGCTGAGGAGCTCCACCAGCAGATTTTGATATCGGAGGGAACTGATTATTATCATCTTGCTGTAAATCAGCGCCTTGTTGATGACCATTTTCTTGGAAGGGCGCTTGATGACCTACGGGTGCACCTGGTTGATGTTGACTGGGGAAGAAAGATCCCTGTGACTGTGGAGCAAACCCTGATTGAGGTTGTGCACTCTGATCGTAAGGCTTGAGCTGCTGAGGACCAGAGCTCGGTTGGTCTGGTTTCTTATCGGAACTAATACTGTTCTGTACTGCTCCATAACCGTTTTTTCCATTTTGTGTATGCTTTAAAGACGTTACAGCACCATGTTGAGTGGGTTGAGGTCCATTGAAAGTTTGTCCTGCCTTTGAGACTGAGCTTACAGAGTTGGGTTGAGGATAGTTGTAACTATTTCCGTTAGCGTTCGCACCTCCAGCTTGATCTGGTCCAAGAGGTCCTCTTTGATAACCATTCTGCTGTGATGCACCAGGCCCAAAACCAGATTGAGGTGCATTTTGATCGCCGGAGAATCTGGTAGAACCTGCTCCATTTTGATGAGCACCAAATTGATCTTTTTGTTCAGCTCCTTCTTCCTCATGGTAGGACCCCTCGTTGTACTCTCCTCGTGCCTCAGCTTCCTTGTTCAACTGAATGGACCTCAATATAGCATCTCTTCCAGCCCATTGTGCACTTTTAGGCTGGAATCCATTCTCATCAGCAATGTACTCTACGGAATATTGCTGTCCATCTGGGGCTGTGTACATGTAACCACCTTGCGCAACTTGAGATCCATCCCTCAAGAACCCTTCTTCTTGGACAGCAATACCATTGTCAGTTTCATAGGCGTAGTTGTAGCTTCCATCTCCAGCATGTGGGTTATTGTCAAATCGAAGGATTTTTGCATGAGCAAATGGACTTGCGTATTGTTGCATCTGGTTGAAAGATCCTCCAAAGTTTCCAGCGGGAGTCTCACCAATCTGTTTTCTGGTTTGACTAAACTCAGTACCATGTTGTCCGTTTGCCTTTTCGAAAGGTAGTACTGGAGCAGCAGCTCCGAAGTACTTTCCAGTTGCTGAAGAGGCTCCGCTATTGTTATTTCCATTTCCGAAGCTACCTTGAGCCCCTTGTGGTGCATTAGCAGATGGAACATTTCCATGGTTTTGTCCATACATGGGCGAGTTGATGCTTGTGGGTTGACCAGGCTGATGGGTTGATTGGCCATTTGTTGGGTAGTTGCCGTTGAATGGACGAGGAATGGTGCTGACTGAATCTTGACTTGGTTGGGCGTTGTAGTTAAAGTTATTTCCATTTGCAGTTGAAGCGTCAGGAGTTAAGTTGGTATTGGCGTTTTTACCTGGAACAAATGATAGAGGATTTAGAATTGCCAGATTCAGATTCATAAGATCATTAATTTCGAATCCTAGTGAAGACTTCATTTCTAAGCAATGAAAGGGAAGTACAGAGTTAGCCTACTTGACAATCGGTCACTAGATGCCGTCATGAAAAGTACTAAACAATCAAGTGTCGAGAAAATTCCAATTACCTACACGATCAATTTCGAGTGGTTTTGGAAATGGATCAGTTGAATTTTTATTGCGTAAGAGTACAGGGTCAAACTACTTGACATTTCGCATATAATGCGAATAATTATGTTTTTGTGACTAGCCTATTTTGTTTCAGGACTTCATGAAATACCGGTCGAAATGCGGTCCAACTGGTTCTTAATTGGTCGGGACCAGTTGTTTTTTATTCAGTTTCATCCAGAGATGGATCCAGAGATAATTTTTTTGTGGGGAGCGTTTTTTGAGGGCCGGGGTGTCAGCAATTAAAAATTAAAGATCAAAAGGGTCACTCCCAGCGGCATTTCAAGCACGCATAATCGTTTACACGTACTGCCCGCTCATCAGTTCTGAATCGCCAGCAACTCCTTTCCCCAAAAACATAAATGGTCACATTACGTATAAATCTAAAATTGTGTTTCTAAAAAATTATATTGTGTTATAAACATATAGTTACCTGAAGTGGACGATGGATCAGCATGAGGCCCTTGAGCTACAGGTCCTACAGATTCCTGGAATGTTGCATGACCTCCATTACTTCCAACTTGACCTCTTTCTTCTCCTGATGATGTACCGAAAGACTGGCCAGCATTGTTGCCATTAAACTGACCTCCAGGATGCTGTGCTCCAGGCGGCAGGTACTCTCTGCTCGAAGGAGCTTGGCCAAATCCTGGAGACTGGGATCCAGGTTGCTGTTGAGATCCAAATGATGCCTGGGGTCCTGTTTGGGCCTGGTGATTAAAATTACCAGTCTGTGGGGTTTGAGCCTCGTGTTGGAAGCCCAGAGATTGAGATCCAGAGTGCAGCTCAGATCCAAATGGGAGCTGGGGTCCTGTTTGACCTTGTTGCTGGTTGAAGTTGCTAGGCTGTTGGTTGTATCCTACGTTTGTTGGTGTACCTGTGAAACCTGGAGCTTGCCGTTCACTTCCAAAGCTACCTTGAGGCTGTTGGTTGAAGCTACCAAGTGGTACATTTTGGCTTTGTTGATTTTGCTCTGGTATACCAGGAGCATGGCCCCTACCAGCTCCTGAGAATTTGTCCTCATGGGGCGGCAGGTAGTTGTTCAGTTTTGCGCATGACGCAAAGCCAAAAATACCCAGAAGTAAAAGTACCTGTAACGAAACGTATAATTAAAAATATAAGAAAAAAGTACGTATTAATTTCAAACTGAAGATTAGGACTGAATGTACAAATAGAATCGTTGAACTTTTGTAACGGAACTTGGACTTACTGAAGAACCTGAATACTTTAGAACGTGATTACTTTGGACGGATCAAAATTTTAAAAAACATCCAAAGATCAATTTGCACTTTAGGACAAATGTTCACATGACCAAGCATGTTGAAGTTTCAACCAGTTTCACCAAGTAAGAATATTTACGGTCTGTAAGATGTTGAGGTTTATTATTATTGATTTTCAATATTTTGACAATAGTCCTATGCGAATATATGGGAATATTGAGTTTATCCATCAGACACATTTATGCCAGATATAATATATAACCTGGATGGTGTTCCTTATTCCAGAATTCCAAACACAACACTTCAGCGCCTACTAGCAGCGGAAAATAAATGTTGTTCACGAACACGTCAATCATCTACGTAACATTTTTCACTTTTCGACTCTACCTCTCAATTACCTCTACCGCACAAATATTTTGCAAGAACCAACATAAAAATTAAAACTACTTTGTCGGTATTAATACATTAACCTTTAACACTAATTAGAATATTCTTTTACTTTTGTTCTAGCCGCACTTGCACTTACTTTTGTCATATTGGCACACAAGCTCAGATGAACTGTATTTGATGCTTATCACGAAATTCTTATATATGTTAACCGATTTTGTTTGGCAATTACTCCCCCCAATTTTTTCTAAAAGTGAAGATGAGATCCTCATTAATGGATTGATTATACTCTGGTCATTTTAAGATTTATTTGGGACATCATGATTGCTTCTGTATCCATTAATTTTAATGTCCGGTAAAAATATTTTACATTGAGTAGAAACTACTGCAGCCATACGGCTCCTACTGTGTATAAAAATAATAATACTTTCGCAATGAACAATGTAGTCAAATATAGTTTGAATCAGTTCAAATACTTTCCAGACATGCGTTTGAATTGTTTGTTTTGTTGTTACCATAGGAATAAAAGACAGTCATACTGGCTAGCTGTCAGAGTTCGACAGAGCTAGAAGCCTGGCGGGTTTGTCTCGCAGGCCCAACGTGCAGCGGCATCATGGGAGCAAACCCAGGAGCGAACCTCTGTTCACATATTCGTAGAACACATCCAGAATACCGACAACCCATAGATGCGAGAGACGCTATTTGTCAAGGAAGCCTCATTGACCATCCTAACATCACTCCTTGTAGGTATGAATCCCCATTTTGGAAGTCGCAAATCGTGATAAAGTGTTGCTATCTGCCTGGAGGCCGTTCTTGATATAAAATGTGGGCGTCAGTTGCTCCACAATAATTGTAAGACACCTTCATGACCTATTTGATTTTCATAGTTTTTTCTATCCTTCAGAAAAGCAGTTGAGGTTATGTTACAAACATCTATTTGCATCAAACTATTCATGCTTTCGATTTTTATCATCTTTGTTATCAGCCTTTCCTACAGTTCAAAAAGGAAACACAACTGACGCTGACACGAAAAAATAGAAGTCTAGAAATACTCCAGCCTTTCTGAAGGAGAGAAAAGCCTATGAGAATCAACAACAATCTTGTTTTGTTTCTAATACGAATTCTATTTTTTACCCAAAAATTACCATACTTATGACGTCTGATATGTGGGAGAGCTTGAGATTGGGGCCATATGTGAACCGCATCAAGTGTGGATAGCGTAGTTATAGCAGCAGTACCACAGTCGTGTGAATAGTATTCCAGGCTGGATCTAATCTAAACATTGTACAAAAAATGTACTGAAGTAGATTAGCTCAATAATCCGCACCCGTTCATATAAATCTACTTAATCTTCTGATTACAGGCACATTCTAGGCGATGAAATGTGACATGTTTGATTCCAAAATTTTTGGAGACTTAAAAAAAATGGTTACGCCCCAAACTTACCAGAAACTTAAAAAGCGGATCTGGAGAGGAGTAATGTTACCAGATGGACAGTTGTACATGTTCGTAACTGACTTGTCTCTCAGAGGATTTAATTTGCGCTGAACTTAATCTTCATAAACTGATGACTGCATTGCATAGGAAGTGCAAAGTCAACCTAGTTTTAGTAGACGTGTTTTCTTATTATCAAAAGGCAATAATTAGTTTTAAGGTTTTAATGTAATTTCTAAACTCATTTACTTATTAAATGACTGGACTGTAAGTCAATAGTTCACAAAAAGAATTCAAGGTGAGTAGTAATTGCTAATCAAGTTATGATGTGCCCCATAATCCCAAAAATTGAGGATTAACAAGCCGCCTGTATCCTGGTTTATTTTGTACTAAATGGTATTGAACTTAACCCTATTGTTAGCGTTACACAAATCGCCGTGATAGATGATAATAGCTTTTTAATAACGCTTAAATGAAATATCAAGCGGTGAGTTCATATGTTAATCGTTAATTTTCCTCCTCGATGATTGATTTTTTTCGTGAAATCATCAGGGCAACAAAATGTTGAATGAAGAAATTGCGCTGTCTTGACTTTAATGATATCAGTTGTAGTTTAATATGGTCACGAAGACCGTGCTACATTTTTTAATGTTGAAATTTGGATTTAGTTCATTAATCAGTGTAGTGGCAAGTGCATATAGGAGATTCTGTAGTGAGTTTGATACACCATTATAATAACATTTTACGTCACAGTATTGTAGACGAAGCTCATTTACTCAGGGCTCACATCATTGCTCTTGATATTAAAATTAAACTATGGCCAATTTTACATGATCAATATTTGCTGTGATCTGTCTGAATTTTCCATGAAATGTGACATTTATTGACCGTGTAGCCTAGACGTCAGTAATTATTGCTGCATAAGGTTACGTAAACATCCACTGACACTGACGTAATGATCAGTACATACTGTCACACACTGATCCTGAGACATAGGATATAATAACATAAACATAACAAAATTGAATTATTATTAGCTGAATTGGATTGTTAGCATTTTCTATGGATAATGGAATAATGTAAGCAGTATATCTTCGTTTCCTTCACTTTTGGGTTGGAACAGCACGTATATGAAATTTGTGCATTGAAAGAGGAATATATTAAAGGGCCGCCAAAGCCCCCAGGATTTGAATTTTACTCTGATATCGACAGAACACATACTTCATGTCATGTCAAACTATCAACTCAAGAAGTAAGGGTTATTCTCCAGATGGAAGATTGGATCAAGTTACTACATTCGTAGACTATACTACCATTTCAGTCGCTGGTCAAAACATCCAAGAACTCAATGAAAATGTGTCAATTGTAATTGATGAATTTGCTTCCTGTTGCTAACCAAACAGATTTGTTCTTAACGCGGACAACCCTGTTATTATCAACTACACAATGCAAAAGCATAACCAAAAAGATTTTGTGTATCTAACGTCAATGTTACCGGTTAGTTCTTGTAACATTTTTGGCTTCATTTTTACGTTTTCTGTACAAACAGAGCATGTGTGTAGTCAGCTGAACAAAGGATTCTACGCCATACTGCAGCTTAAATTGATTCTGGGCTTCACGCATTTTATTATAGTCTTGCTATTCCCATATATCCTACACCATAATGATCTGGAGGACAATCAATAGACACAGAGTACTTGTCAGTCAGAAACGCATCTGGAGTCTAATTTTCAATTTTAAAAAACTTGAAAGCTGCCGTAGCGTACTCATAGCTAACAGAGTACTGACGCTAACCTGAATCTACATTCTGAAATGAGAGACGTTTGTAAAAATGTACCTTAATTTATTCCAGATACAACACTAGAAACGCTCATTTGCTATCTGTACAAACACATTGCTTTCTTTCACATTGCAACTGCGTGTCCTTTTTAACAAATTGCTATTAAACATACGAAATATTTATTGTTATAACTCCTTCAACAAATAAGTAAGATTGTTATTATCTACTCATGGATTTTACAACATCCAAGAATGTACGACTGCTTTCTGTGCTTTTACGTATCTATTGCCTTAAAAAACATTATACTACAAACATATACTGCATTTTCTTTATCTACCTGTCCGGGTTGATGATGCTTTTGAAAAAATCCATTTGCATTTGTTAATAGTTTAAACTTTATTGACTAATTATTTTAATTGTGGATGTTAATTGTTTATTTATTGTTTATATTGCCTGTTTTTATTAACTTGCCATATAACATACATGTAACACGTCTTTACGGTTAATCCAAATAATTAAAAAATTATAGGCCATTCAGGCGGAATATATGTACATAGATAGATATCTAATATGTTTTGCTTACAGGATTTAGTTCAATTTTCATAGTTTGAACTTGATCGATTTGCATATACACTTATTTATTGTTAAATAAATAGCATACACGGGAAAAGGGGTCACACCCTAAGGACTGGGGACAGGAGACCTTATTTCGTCACGCCTGAATTTTTCGCGTCACAGCTTTGTCGCGGAACATTTCGTCTTCGGATCACAAACTTAGACACCTTTCATTCATGGAATAAAAGTGAAGTTTCTCAGAACCTATCTTTTATTTTATCGAAAAATGGGAAATACTCCTTTTCATCCTATAATGTCATTACAGGTATTTCCTAGTATTTCACTTGCCACAGTTTCTATTGGGCGACAGAGTGCCAAGCCGATTTCTATGGTTGTCCTGGAGAAAAGAAGAGGCTGATTTCTGTCTGACAAAAGACTTGGAGGTGTAATTTAATGTTTCCAACACTCAGTAATTCCCCTTGACTAACAAGAGATATGCCGTGGCGATGGATGGCCAAGTTTCGGCTTGTCGATACTTTGTCTCTAGGATCTGTCTACACTATTATTCCAGTATTATTTTGGAGATTCAGGGTTACAAATAAGTTAACATACCACTGAATAAATGCTAGAATAAAAGAGATGCCCCAATCGCACTACAAGAGAAAATCACACAATGTATATACAAAATTTTGGTATCAATAGGTTAATAGGTCAAATTTTCTTAGTTTTTATAATAAAAAATCGATATAATACTAACATTACCTAATCTAACTGAA